AGGGAAAGAAAATGTTTGCTAAGAACAAGTTTTTGTTGGTGGATCTGACTTAACCTTTTGCAAATTGCATTATGGAATGTCACTTTATTATTTCACTGATGTTTCCAGCTTCTATTGTTAAACTATACTTAGCCATAAATCCACTTATGTTCCTTTTCTGTAACTTCCTGGTCTGGAGAATAAATACGGGGAGAGAACCACAGTTCATGGTTAATTTCCCAAGGAGGAATGCCTCTTGAGGGTTCTGGGAAGTTAACCCCTTTGGGGTGTCTCAATGCTCAGAAGAGATGGGATTTGAGTAATCTTTTTTGCATCTCCATCATCCCGTGTGAGGCAAAGCAACAACAATACATTTACATTTTATAAAAGTTTTGAAATAAGAATTGTCTTATCTTGGTGTATTAGTCCAATTCTGTTGCTTATAACAAAATACTTGGAACTGGGTGATTTATAAGAAAACAAAATTTATTGCTTACAGTTTCTGAGGCTGGGAAGTCCAAACTCCATCTGGTGGTTGTGACAGTGACCCAGGGGTCTCACATTGCAAGATGGAAAGAGAGAGCAGACAGTGACCTCCTCATTCACTCTTTTTAAAGCCCTCAGAACCACACCCCTGACCACCATTTTTAATCCATTCACTACTGCATGGTCCTACAATCCAAATCACCTCTTTAAGGCCCTACCTTTCAATTACCATAATAGGATTTCCGGTCCTCTTAACAGTCACAGTAGGGGCCAAGTTTCTAATACATAAAACCTGGGGGACACAATTCAAGCTTCAGGGAGTTTTGGGGGGACATAATTCGATCCACTACAACTTTTTTCTCTTGTAACTGGAATGTTACCAGACCCCACTAGCCTTTGTGTACAAACAAGGTCACATTAATGCCACAATTACTCTTAATCTTTCCTGCCTGACTGTAGGACTCTGGCCCCTTTCTGAGTTCTCAGCCATGCTTGGGCAGTGCCTCATTCATGTTCAGGACCAAGTTCAACACTGTTTGTCAATTACATCTTCCTTGTTAAGGCCTCAAGCCCCCTAGTCTTCCACTAGTGCAGCACCATGCACCCTCAGGACACTGTGTGGTGGCAAGTATGCACACAGGTGTGGGGTGGAGGTGGTGCAGAATGACCCTGTCACCTGAGTGCTGATGCAGCATTGTTTTTTATCCTTATCAGAATTATCTATCAAATGAATAGTTCCTTCAGCTACTGGTCCATCATCATCAACACTTATAAGTACAACACATAACTTTTTTATTGAAACATAATTGATTGTACATATTTGTGGGGTACAGAATTGAATTTTAATACCTGTGTATGATACGTGATGATCAACCAGGATAATTAACATATTCATAATTACAAAATGTAATCATTCTTTATAAGAGGTAACATTTGTATAGTACTTTACAAAATGCTTTGTCTCATTTTACCTTTCAAAAAACAAATGCTGGGGTCTTATTCTTATTTTACAGGGGAGGAAACTGAGGCTGGGAGAAACCTGTGGCTCGAGATCACACAGTTAGTAAAGGATGATTCAAATCCAGGTAGGCAACTTGAAATCCTCCTCTTTTCCACTGTATCACAATGCTGCCTGTTGGGTTTCCAATTAAACAATTCCTTCAAGGCAAACACCAAGGCATCTCACATCTGACCTCAGTTAGGAGAGTTGATAGTGGAAGTGCACTTTTGCATGGCATGACATGCTCCAAGGCTGTCTGGTGTTTGAAACACAACATCTAGAGAAAGCAGCAAGCATGAAGAACAAAGGAAAACTGGCAGTTAGTCAAAATTCTGGTTTGGCAGTTTTGGGTAAATCTATCTCGTGTCCTCATAAAGGAGCTATCTCTGAACCCAGTGACTACACAGCTTATTTATATACATATTTATTGCACGACATGCTCAGAGGATGTTTCCTAATAAGAGACTCAAAAAGTACAACTTCCATTAATAAAGGCAGATGCTATTTCACTCAAAGTAATCTAGTTCTCTTAACAAGGACACTGATTCCTTCTCATTATATTAAAAGGCGATTACTTTCTAGAGACACTATTTTAATATATCCAATTACTAATTATAACACCTTTCAACCTCATTAGATGTGTAACCGAGTATCAGAAGAAAACTTGGTGTTAACCTAGTGCTCAGAGTTTATTTACTCATGGGTAGAACAGATATATCAATGCCTAGTAATAACAGTTGCTGTTTATTTAGTGCTTACTAATGGCCATGCACTATGTAAAATGCTTTACATAATTGATCTTATTTAATCTGTGACATGGAAGATAACTGTTATCAATATCCCCATTTTACAGCTAAGATAACTGAGGTTTAAAGAGCTTTAATAACTTGCCCACTGTCATGCAGCTAAGAAGTTCTTGTGAGCAGCTTGATAGAGACTGGTTTTCCAGCCTCCTTGCTCCAGGCCTGGCTGTGTCCAGCACGTATTAGGGGCTTTAGACAAGTTTGTCAAGTGAATACATGAACAAGCAAGCCCTAATCGTTTCAAACCCTGGCTGGCTTCATCTAAAAGTTGTTTTGACAAAGTCCTTTTGCCTCAGAATGGATAAAGTGATTTGACCAAAAGCTGAACGAGGCAGCCCCCTTTCTCTTCTCAGAGCTGCAGGTGTAGCCTTGCCCTCTTGAGCACTGTTTCCAACGCCTGTTCAGTTGAGATCACCTGCACTCATCAGGAAACTGACAGAGAAAGGGCTTTGTTAGGGCACCTAAGTAGGAAACTACACAGTGGCTAAAGCTCTGTGAGTGGATAACTGAAAGTTTAGGGCTTCATCCTGGGCAGTCCCCTACGTGGCTACTGCTTGTGTCCCTTCCAACCAGTTGGCTACCCTTAAGCCTCTTTCATATAGAAATGACGGAGTTGTGGTTTGAGATGAGTTCTTTCTTTCTGGAGGTCCCACCAGTTCATCTCTGGGGAGGCCCCCACCTGGGCCTGGCCCTATGGTTGAATTCCTAAATCTGGGTTATCTCTTCTGCAAGGGAACACAGGGAAAGACAACCTGGTGAAATGTAAATAAGCCCAGACTCTACAGACTAGGCAAGAAAATGGGCCTGCGAGAGAATTCAAAAACGGTGATCCCTCAGGACAGATGAATTATATAAAAAATAACACCTCCCCACCCTCAGTTGGAAAAAGGCCCCTTTCCTGAAGGGTCAGGACTGGGCAGCTCCACTCAGGTGGGCGAATGAGTCAATTTTCAAGATGTGCCTTGCACTCAGGGGACTGAAAGAAGTTTAAAGTAGTTCTTAGCTCTAAGCCTCCAGGGATTAATGCCCTCTACACAGCAGGTGGTGGAAAATTGGGTCCGGTGCCCTCAGTCTCCATCACTTACCCCACCACCCAAGAGAGGGGTATCCATCTCTTCCTTCCTGGTTATAAGTGAACCACCTCGTTTGCCTCGTTTTGGTCTTAAGTTGCTTCTCAGACTCAGAAAAGGCCTCCCCAGACTTCATAAAGAATCCTTACCCCTTGTTTTTCCTTATCAAAGGAGCTTCCAAGCACTGACACATCTATAACTACTTTACCTGTGTATTGTGTGTCTTCCCTCCCAGGATGTCGGCTCTAGGAGGGTGGGCTGTATGACCTGGGTATCACCTTTGCATTCTCAGGCCCTAGCACAGTGCCGGGCACCTAGAAGACACTATTTGAATAAGCATGTATTTGTTCGATGGATGAAAGGATGACAAAGTTAAGAAGCAGGTGAAGCTCATTTTTTGGCAGAAAAGTAATCATGAACGTGTGAGAGATATTTCATTTAGGTACCAATGTAGAGTCAAGCATCCCCAACCCCACCTTGACTGTTCCTCTCTCCTGTCCACCTGCAGCTTGTCCACAACTCCACATGGCAACAGAAACGGGCCAAAGCAGGGAAGGCTGACTCGCTGCAGGTGCCAGAGGCTGGGAAAATTTATACCGAACCACAGATGGGAGGCAGACACACTGATTCTGGGGCAGGGTGGCCTGTCACTTTGGGGGAAGAAACAATGTCAGAGGGACTTCCGGAAGGCAGGTAACAGGGATGTGCCTGACTGAAGACAGAGGGGGTTGGAAAGGAACTTTGGAGCAGAACTTCCGGCTTTATGATAGCAGTGACCCTCAGAGAGCTGCTTTCTGTGAGCAGGAGCATAGAAAGCAGGTGGTGGGACCGACCCTGGTTTGACATCTGACAGGCAGCATATCGTGGAGTATCAGGACGCAAGGGGTCTGGGGTGCCAGCAAGAACAAACCGCGATAGCTGATGGAGGGACAGCCCAGACAGGGAGCAGAGGAGGCTGGAGGGCAGGGCTGAGGGGCTGGAGGTGAAGGTGAAGCAGCAGAAGAGCTTCAGTGGGAGCCAGGAACTTGCAATAAAGCGCGTGGAGTGGGGGAGGAGTGAAGGGCTGAGAGAGCAATGTACGAATTAGACTCATGCCACTCACACTGTGGCATCACAGGGTGTACTAGATGGCACTGAGCAATAATTAATGAGGTCTAGAAACCGAGAAGCTATTTGCAAAAGTGAGAATTTCTTTTGATATCCTCAACAATATTTATTAAGCTTCCTCTCACAGACAGGACTGTCAGGCACAAGAGTGGACCTGGGATGAACTGTTCTGTCCCATGGGTAAAGGATAAAGACTGGATTTTCAAATTCAAAACTACCATCCTGCCTCCTTCTACAAATCCTGGACTCAGTCCCGAGACTTACGATTGTATTTTTAAAAATCTGTGTTCTTGGGGGCTTGCTTCATGTAGCACCCAGTACACGCCACGCCACCACCGAGGCCAGAGGCGTGCGTGCTTGTCTGTCTCTACTGGTCAGAGACGTGCATAGCGAGGCCGGCGTCAGACGCAAACGCCCAGCCCCGCCACCCTGTCGCCCGCTGAGAGGATCTGGCCGCCAACGCCTGGGGGAAAAAAAAGTATCCCCAGGGACCTTCCGCCCCGCCTTTCTTCAAGTCAGCCGAGAAAACAAACGCTGCACAGCCCAGGAAATTAGATGCACAGGGGAATTCATTCCACCCGGGAGGAAGGGAAGTCCCTGCGGAAACAAGTCTGGCTGCATGTGCGGACACGGTCCCAGAAACCGAAAAAGAACATCCCAACACCACGTCTGCCCCGCCATGTGACCGGCCACCGGAATGGTGGCCACCGTGGACGCTGCCCACCACCGCTTGTGCCTCCCGTCTTCCCCGCAGTGGAGGCCCGGCAGAACCCCCGCAGAGACGACGGCCCACCACCGCTTGTGCCTCCCGTCTTCCCCGCAGTGGAGGCCCGGCAGAACCCCCGCAGAGACGACGGCCCACCACCGCTTGTGCCTCCCGTCTTCCCCGCAGTGGAGGCCCGGCAGAACCCCCGCAGAGACGACGGCCCACCACCGCTTGTGCCTCCCGTCTTCCCCGCAGTGGAGGCCCGGCAGAACCCCCGCAGAGACGACGGCCCACCACCGCTTGTGCCTCCCGTCTTCCCCGCAGTGGAGGCCCGGCAGAACCCCCGCAGAGACGACGGCCCACCACCGCTTGTGCCTCCCGTCTTCCCCGCAGTGGAGGCCCGGCAGAACCCCCGCAGAGACGACGGCCCACCACCGCTTGTGCCTCCCGTCTTCCCCGCAGTGGAGGCCCGGCAGAACCCCCGCAGAGACGACGGCCCACCACCGCTTGTGCCTCCCGTCTTCCCCGCAGTGGAGGCCCGGCAGAACCCCCGCAGAGACGACGCACCGCCGCCGGGCAGGGGCGGGCGCGGAGGGCGGGGGCGCGGTCCGCCCTAGTCCCCCGCCTCGTCCCCGCCCCTCCCCTGAGTGGCTGCCAATCAGCGGAACGAGAAGCCGGATTGGCCGGAGGGAGGCTGTTGCCCGGGAGCCACCGCCCCGCCCCTCCGCCCCCTCGGCCCGTCTTGCCCTACTCCCCGCCCTCCCCAAGGCCCTGGGAAGGGGCTTAGCGTGGGAAAGGGATGGTTGAGTTTTAACCGGAGGCCGAGCGTGAGCGGATCAGTGTGTGCGGAGAGCGAGCAGCTGAACGCGGAGAGGCGTCGCTGGTAACTCCTCCCTGCCCGCCGCGCCGACCCTCCCCCGGAGCCCCCGCGCAGCCAGCATGAAGCGAGCTCACCCCGAGTACAGCTCCTCGGATAGCGAGCTGGACGAGACCATAGAGGTGGAGAAGGAGAGTGCGGACGAGAATGGGTGAGGAGGCGGCGGCGGAGCGGGAGGCGAGCGCCGGCCGGCCGTGGTGACAGCGGGCGAGGGTCCGGGGCGCGCCGGTGCCTTGCGCTGACCTCCGCGCGTCGCGGGCTGGCCGTCGCCCGCGGTGAGGGACCCCGAGGCGCTTTCAAGCCCACGTTGCCGAAACAGTCTTGAGTGCGGGGAGCGCGTGGGGGCGACCTCTCAGATCACCTCCGCTGCTTAGCGGCGATTCTTATTTGTTTTTTTCCTTTCAGAAACTTGAGTTCGACTTTAGGTTCCATGTCCCCAACTACGTCTTCCCAGATCCTGGCCAGGAAAAGACGGAGAGGCGTAAGTGCCTTTACACTGTAACCTCCTCCCCCGCCCCCGTTATTAATTAACGGGAAGAAACACCTTTCTTCTCTTTGCAGTTTACAGTCGTAGTAGAAATACCCTCCTTTGTTTTGCCTCCTTCCTACAGATCATTGAGAAGCGCCGCCGAGACCGGATCAATAACAGTTTGTCTGAGCTGAGGAGGCTGGTTCCCAGTGCTTTTGAGAAGCAGGTAATGGAGAAAGTAGGTAGAGTTCTCGTTGAAGCTGTCCACACCTTCTGAATCCTTTTCTCCATCATTCGACACTTGGAAAATAGACGTGTTGCTTATGCCTAGATGAACTCATACACAGATTCTAACGCATTTTGTGAAGACAACTCACTCATTTTGCTTTAGTCTATAATTTACAAAACGTATATATTTGTATATATGTTTGTGCATTTCACGTTGTTCCACTTTTGCTATTCTCTTCATTAGGGATCTGCTAAGCTAGAAAAAGCAGAGATTCTTCAGATGACCGTGGATCACCTGAAAATGCTGCATACTGCTGGAGGGAAAGGTACATCTCCCTAGGCTTGGTGGGGGCTGCGAGTGTGTGGGGTAGAGTGAGCAGAGGCCAGGATTGGTGCAGTGGCTGCCAGATTTTTCTTTGGAGGTGGGGAGAGAACGGTGTGTGGTGTGTGTGGTTGCCTGTCGGTCCATTTTCAAATGCACATAGGATTTTCTCCAGTGAATTCATCACTCTAGCCTTCTGCAAAATGAGCTAGTGCACCTTTTGGGAAATGCCCCCATTATCTGTGAGGTCCTCTAACGTTGTGACAGCCCTGATTCAAATCAGGTTAACTCTCACATTTGTTCATTGCTGTTTTGAGAAAAAGCTTTTTTTTGGTTACAGTATGTGATCTTAAATTTGTATACAGGGTTTTAAAAAATGAGCTGCCACATGACTCTTGAGGAAAGAAACCTGTTGTGGTTAAGTAGAGAAAACCTAACAGAAGGTGGGAGACCAAAGTCTGTGTCTGTCTCCAGCCAGAAAATGCTTTACTGAGGACCAAGTGCCTAAAAGCTCCCCGATGATAACTTACATCTGTGTGTCTAATGAATTTCACTGCTCTGTGGTTTCTCTGTCCTTGATGTATTTTTTGTTGTCGTTGGGGGCGGGGGGGGGACATTAAAGGAGGGAAGGAACATAGTTTCATCTGCTGGTAGGGTATAATTCCAGTTTCTGCTCGGCAGCTTCTAACTGGGCTTTGAACTTGCATTAGCAAACACATTCTGTTCATGTTGATTAATGCAAAGATTTTGGTCGACTCCAAAATATTTGGACTTTCAAAAGAGCTCGTGAGTTCCGTGTTTTAATGATGTAGGTATTTGTCAGGAAGGGCTGCCTTTGGGATTGAAGAAATGCGGGAAATGAGCAAAGCCTTGAGGTTTTTCTTTTGTTCTTTTCCTCAGGCTACTTTGACGCGCACGCCCTTGCAATGGACTATCGGAGTTTGGGGTTTCGGGAATGCCTGGCAGAGGTTGCCCGTTACCTGAGCATCATTGAAGGACTGGATGCCTCTGACCCGCTTCGAATTCGACTAGTCTCGCATCTCAACAACTACGCCTCCCAGCGGGAAGCCGCGAGCGGCGCCCACGCCGGCCTTGGACACATTCCCTGGGGGAGCGCCTTCGGACATCACCCGCACATCGCGCACCCCCTGTTGCTGCCCCAGAACGGCCACGGGAACACTGGCACCACGGCCTCGCCCACGGAACTGCACCACCAGGGCAGGTTGTCCTCAGCACACCCGGAGGCGCCCGCTTTGCGAGCGCCCCCTAGCGGCGGCCTTGGACCGGTGCTCCCTGTGGTCACCTCCGCCTCCAAACTGTCGCCGCCTCTGCTCTCGTCGGTGGCCTCCCTGTCGGCCTTTCCCTTCTCGTTTGGCTCTTTCCACTTACTCTCTCCCAATGCACTGAGCCCTTCGGCACCCACGCAGGCAGCAAACCTTGGCAAGCCCTATAGACCTTGGGGGACGGAGATTGGAGCTTTTTAAAGAACTGATGTAGAATGAGGGAGGGGAAAGCTTAACATCCCAGCTGAGGTGGACTGTTGCCAACACCACCTAAAGTCGTCAATTAAAGTAAAAAGGAAAAAGGTACACTTTCAGATAATTTTTTTTAAAGACTAAAGGTTTGTTGGTTTACTTTTTACTTTTTTAATGTTTTTTAAAATTTTGTCATGTATTAGAAGTTTTTAAAAACTAGTTGTTAAATTTTGTTCAAAACACTAAGTTGAAATAGTGAGTATAAACCAACACTTTGTGATAGGTTTGTACTGTGCCTAATTTGCTTTGTAAACCTATCTGTCTAAGAATGATTCCATTTTTGCCTCAAAGTTTTGGAAATCTTAACATTCAGTATTTTTGGTCTAATTTTTCTTTGTACAGTTATGATCTGTTTTTAGAATTAATTTTCCAAACCACTATGCTCAACGTTAACATGATTCTGTTTGTTAATATTTTGACAGATTAAGGTGTTCTATAAATATTCTTTTTTGAGGGGGACCTATATTGAATTTTATATTTCTGAACAAAGCGTTGACAAATCAGATGACCAGCTTTATCCAAGAAAGAAGACTAGTTAATTCTTTGCCTCCTACAGCAGTAAGGTGAATGTACAAACTTGGTGGCCATGAGTCCGTATGACCAATTGCTGTTGTCTGCCAGGATTCACAGTTCTGGCTTAGGAGAGAGCCACTGGTAGGTTAGATCCCCATCTGAGTGCTGGTGGGGAGAATACTGAAGGTAATTGCATTATAGAATATGCCTGTACTTACAGCCCCAAACAATGCAATGAGTTTTTAATCTCATGGATCTCAAATTCATAAATGTTGACATGGATAAGTGATCATGGTGTGCAAGTGGTCAATTGAATAGTACAGTGGAACCTGTTAAATACATAACCTAATTTTCCTGGAACTGCTATATTTTCACTTAACTGGAAACTTTTAAGTTGTGTTTTCCTTTTGGTGCATGGAAATGTGGTTGTTGAGATATTTAAAAGGGCTCCACTGCCGCCTTCTGTTTGGCTTATTTAATTTGAATTGGGCTATAAAAGTATCATTTTGCAGGTTTATTCCTTTAGCAGGTGTAGTTTAAATGACCTCCACTGAACTGGGTTTGACCTCTGTTGTACTGATATGTTGTGACTAAATAAAAAAGAAAGAACAAAGTATTCTGCTGTATATGTCTTACATATCTTGGCCTTTCCCTTTATTGGCTAGGAAAAGATAAATTTTCTTTTCTTTACATTTTGCCTGGTTGATTTTCATATGTTTACAAATTTCATTATTCTTGGAATTCTAAAATGTGTGAATTCGTGCTATTAAATAAGGTGACTTCATTATAATGCAGAGCTTTGGCCGGCCTCCCGCAGTGGATATAGCCCTTTTGCTGTTATGTCACATGGTCTGGCCCTAAACTGGCCATCTATAGACTAGGAAAGTTTAAATCAGACTGGGAGTTGCAGGGAAGGGAAAAAAACTCTGATGACCTCTGCTAAGATGGTGTTGACCCTTTCACAAATATTTACTGAGAGCACCTATTGTGTGCCCAGTCCTATTCGGAGAGAACAGAAAAATTTTTTCTTTTTTTTAAAAAATGGCAAAACAAGAAAACCCAAAGGTTGCTATCTCTGAGACCCCAGGCAGGGGCTCAGAATCTGTGGCGTGATGAGCAGTGGCAGGCTGTAATTCCGCACCTGCATAGCTCCAGGAGTCTTCCCTGGTCTTGTTTCCAAGGAATTTGTTTAACCCTGTAGTTGCATTGGACTCCTGAGCTGTGTAGTGAGGAAGCTGACATATGTTTGAAGTTAGAACAAAATGCTGCTAAAACAGAGGCAGTAATCTGGGCCCCCAGGGGACAGGAGTGCCTTCTCATTGCCTTTAAAGTAGTCCTGCCAACTAAGGAGTGTTGCCTCTTAGCTGGGAAGGAGTTTGCCTTGATCCTGAGGATGGTGGGGAGGAGGGGGAGAAAATCTACTTGGACAGATGATAAAATAGATCCTTCCTTTTCTTTGCCCAACCACTGAGCTCCTCCTCCCCTCTCTGATGGGAAAACAAAGACAGAAGGCAAAGAGATGAAGTTTGGACTTTGAACTTGAGTAGCAGCTTCTGGGTTCCTGTAAAGGGATGGGAGACTGTGGTGTTTTTGTGTTGGTGGGTTTCAAATGCTTTCTCTGCGAGGCCTCTGTCATTGGTCTCTCTTGTGTTGCAAGCTCTGCTCTCAGTGCTGCCTGTGCCATGCAAACACTTTTTCTGTCTGTCAGAAGGCTAAGATGGAAAGTGTTATGATGATTTCTGCCAAGTGTCAGTTTAATTTTAGCAAATGCCATTTCTAGTGGCATTACAGCATTACTGAACAGCATTGTGCTTGAACCGTCTTAGTCTCTCTTACCATTTCCTAGGTTTAGATGGCTGCTAGTGTTGGTAAGGAGGAAGTAAAGCCTCTTATTATGCTGGTTCTGCTGAAAGAGCTGTAGAGCTATAAAACGTGGCAAGTTCCATTTGTCACACCAATGACAGCTATATCATATCTGTTAGTACATTTGCCTTTTTGCAGGGGGAGACCTAAGGGGGTCATTTTCAAGATGACATACTTTTCAAAAGAAATATTCTGGTTTCTTTTTAAGTCCCTTCAAGGTGGCAGGTTTCTGGGAATTGTGCAGGTGGAGTCAGAGCTTCCTGGGAAGTGGGATGAAATTATGACTGTGAGCCAGTAATATGTAGAAAAATTAATGTAGGAAAACTCCCATGTCTATTTTGAATTGATGCAGTAAGAAAAAAAAATGTCAAGGTCATCATTGCCAACATGCTTTTTTTTATTATATATACATTTATAATACACCTACCTGTGTAAACAAAATTTTTTCAAATGACCCATAAATTTACCTTAGGAGGAAAATAATATCGCTGGTCATAAAAAATCTTGAAATGCCGCAATGATTACCCATTTATTTTCATTAAATGTATTATTGTGAATTAATAAAATGAATGGATGGGCAGAATTCTTGCATAAAAAAGCCTGCAAAAGAAAAATCCAAGAAATATTGTTTCTAATTTATTCAGTATAGCTAAATTAGGATGTGTTTTTTATTCAGGTTTTCATTGCCCCACTCTGTCACTTGCTAAAATCATGATTTTTTAAATATAGATTACTTATATTTAAAATTCTATCTCCTAGTTATACTTTTCCCCAGCCCTTCTGGTCTATACCAGTATCATAGCTTTGATGCCTTCATTAATTTCCAGTGATGATTTATAATTAAAATAACTTCAGAGCTAACATCATCTGAGAGAATGCTTCAAATGTGGCTGATTTCTTTCACAACCAGAGCTCCAGGGAATGGGGGCATCTTGGGAAGGGGACCAGAATTCTGGCTCCAGTTCTGCTTTTATCTAATTAGGTGACCTTCGATAAGTCATTAAAATTCTCTGAACCCTGCTTTCCTCATCTGTCAAATAAAGTGGTTGGACTAGATGGGGTCCCAGACACACGCTCACATGGACAGGCACTACTGGGGAAGAATGCAGTGGTACTGGGCCAGGTGAGTGATAACCCAGAACCACCTGTTCCCAGCATCTATTCTGTTTGAAAGTCTGTCTCAAGTGTCACTCTAGTTGTTCCTACACAAAAATTTTGGTCCAGTGTTGCCAGTTCTTTCAAGTTTTCAGGAGTATCTCCAATTTTGGATTTTTATGTGAACTTGTTCAATTTTTATTGGTTGGTAACTAATTCACCAAAAACCCGTCTGCCAGCCAGACTGGGCCAGTGGGCAGCAGCCATTTCTCAGCGTCTATGCTCTAATCTGAATAGCTCTCTGGGGGGCTAGAATTTTGTAATATCTTTGTCATGCATGACCTTTGGATATGCTTAATGGATAAACACAAGCCTAAAATAAAATAAACAATGCAGTAATTAGGCAGCTGTAGGTAATATCATCTAAAGATTATGGGCAGAGGTTTCTTTCTTATTTTTTAATTACTTCTGAGTTGTCAAATTTCCCTCAAGGTAAAATAAAACAAGGAGAGAGAAGCAAAAAGCATTCTTTTTGTTCTAAGTCTTGACACTTCACAGAAACCTCTTCTGAAGGTGCTCTTGACTTGGTCCTTATGTTCACTTTACAAAGAAGGAAGACGGTTCTCAGCCTGGTGGCCTTAAATGAAAGAGAGAGTGTAGCTTGCTCGTGACTCAGCACACTGAAGTACGAAAAGGCGCTGTCTGATTGCAGGAAGTAAGAAGTCTCAGCAAAAAACAAGCTGTTTTGAACGTCGACTTGAAATATAATGCCTGCCTTGATCTCGATGAGCTGCAGGGCTTTTCTCTCAGATGCTTCTGTGTTCAGCCCTGGGGTGGGGGTGGGGAGATGGGAGAAAAGGCAAAAGAAAAAGAAACTCAGGCCTTTCTTTCTGAGCTGTCTGCAGGTATCCCCATGCATTTGCCATAGAACTGTTCCCCCAAGCCTGTTAGTCCCAGCAAAATCTGAGGCAAACAAACGTCCTTGGGAAACGGGTCTGAGGAATACAGGCAGGTTTCCGGATTTTGTGTTACTCAGCTGTAAAATTGTGCTTTTTTAATAGTTTGGTTGTAAAATTTCCCACTTTGTTTACTTATTATGTTAGTATTTTTTTTGTTAAGTGCTTTATGTTGGGTTTTGACATGTACTCAAGTTAAAAGACCATGTCTACATTTGAGAACTCTTTGTCATTTGTAAGGCAGTTGTTAGGTCATCTGTGGCTTGATCTAGCATTAGAGATTTGAAAACATTGTATTTCAGCCAGAAAGAGATTGGCTGTTACCTCTGAGAGAGTTGATTACTTAAAATTTTCTGTACCTACTTTTAGTTTTTTTTTTTTAACATCTCTCCTGAGGTATGGTTTAGTTTCTGGTGTATAGGAATGTTTCATAAATGTAGAATTGAATTATAAAATTAAAGAATGACATATCTGAGCCTTTAATCATCCTCTTTGACCTCATTTCCTAGCACTTGCCCGTCATCTCTGCTCCAGCCTCACTTGCTCCTGGCTGTTGCTGGAACAAGGCTGTCCACTGTCACCTCCAGGCCTTGTGGCACGGGCTGTTCCCTCTGCCTGGAATGCTCCCCTCCCCAGCTACAGACTATCTGTAATCTGTAATCTGTTTGGGGCTCTGTTTAAAAGCCACCTTCCCCATGAGGTCTTCCCTTACAACCCTGTTTAAAATAGTCATCCCACTCTTGCTGCTGCCACTCCCTACCTCTCTTTCCTATTTTGTTTTTCTCCATGGCACCTAGCATTGTCTGACAGAATATGTATTTCATTGGATATTTGTTTACCATATGATTTTGCTTGGATTGTTCACTTCTGCAGCTCTATAACTTAAAATAGTGCCTCGTGTTTCAGAGGCTCTCAATAGATACTTGTTGAATGAATGAATGAATCCAATCCACCCGCTAGGAAGCAGAGCAAAAGAGATCCAGATAGATAGGTCTCTATCCCTCCAGCCCCTACTCCCAGTCTTTTATTTTAAAAACTACCAGGGAAGGTAGTTTAATGTTGCACTTCGGTATTTTCTCTTCACTATTATTAAATTCTGCTTTTAAAGAAAAACTAACTAGAACATTATTCTTCAAGTCTGTTTTCTTCTTTGTGTGCCTAGTGGGACTATAGCGACATTGGTTACCTTTTTTTATATTCCTCACAAAAAACCCTCCTCTCCCCTGAAGATACAGGTTCTGAATTCATCCTCACAGTCCCCTCTTCTTCAGTTAGAGTGTCTCACTGTTTTTGGTCTTTCACTGTTTCAGTCCAACCTTTTGGGATGGGTGTGGAGAGCACAGTATCTGTATTTACAGAAATGGAGGGAAGGACAGAAACTCCATCATGGGAACAGACTACATACCACTCAGGGTTTACAGGAGAGCAAGAAAAAGTATTTAGACTAAATGTGGAAAGGTTGAAGGAACTAAGAGATCACAGTCTGGAATAAGTTGGAGGCTGAAGGACAAATGGACAAATTATTGTTTTGAGTATGTACAAAGAGGGTCTCATGAAAGTAGAGGCCAGTGGTTCTCAGGCCAGTAGGGTCGTGACGGGGAGGCCACTGCATTCCTGACTGTGGTTCTGGACATCAAACAGCAATGGGTTTATAGGAGGATTTTGAGTGTAGCTTTTTCTCTTATCCCTGAGCAAACGGAGT